CTGCCTGTTGTAGAAACAGAAGTGTAGAGGACGATGTTTTGAAAGTCTTCCATCTATCGTCTTCAGGTCCAGAAGACGATGGTGGAAGACTTTCAAAATATCGTCCTCTACACTTCTGTTTCTACAACAGGCAGTTGTCATCCATTCAACAAAGTTTCATCAATGTATAGTCTGTTTGCAATCTCCATTCATCATTTTCTTATGTGTCGGTTTGATTTGGTTAGACCTATCTATGTATCGGTTTATGTATCATGTAATGCACACCACAAAGTGTATTGTTTGGCCTTGTTTCTACAAATTCAATGGCTAGAAAGAATTATAAATGGTTTTAAAGGTTTTTTTGTGTGTTTTCAAATATAAAATTCTTCTGGATCCAATGAAACTGCCTAGTTCAAAGTAGAGAGCTATCATTTGATGTATTACTGATCCCTTTTGGTCCAGCCAATTTGAACCAACATTGTTTTTGGTTTTAACAATCACTCGATAGTCACTGCCAATGGTGTAAAAAGGCTTAGTGATCATCATGATTTTTTTAAAGCCTATTTACAACTAGTGGGAATACAGTTGGCTTGAAATAAATCATGCAAATTAAGTGTGTGATAGTACTATAGATGTTTTTCGTTTGTTGTTTGGTGTACAATAAATAGTATTTTGTTTATGGGAGATTTTTATATTTGCAACTGTGATTTCACATTTACCTACTTCCAGACTGGGAACTGTAATTCTCTAGGACTTCCTAGTGTAATTATAATCATTTAAAGACATCAACTAAGAATTAAAAGTGTTACTATTAACTCAGGGCCTAGTCTGATATATTTTAATTTTTAGTAGTATTATTGCCAATTTCTATTACTTAAAAATTGGCTTAAAGATTAATGTTTCTAATTTTTAATGCAAATACTGGGTTTTTAATTTTTAATACAAATGCTAGTTTTCAAATTGTAATTATAGTACTAATTTTCAAAGTAAGTGCAGTTACAAAGTGTAAGTATGATAAATTAATTTTTATATAGTTTTACTACAGCTTACAAGTATCAGTAACCCTTGATGAAACCATTCTTATCAGTATTGTACTAATGGCTGTAAACTACTGTAGTGTAAATTTGGCTTTTTAAAAAAAAAGAAAAAAGTTTAATATGTATTTGATTCTCATAACCACTAAAGAAGAAAGACTGTTTATGATTTTCAGTAAAACTTTGCACAATATTTAGAGGAAGTAAAATGAATTAATTAGTGACTTTTTGTACATTCAATAATGATTGGATCCACATGTTGCATCATATTAATAATTGTCCATTTTTGCCTGTTTAAAAACTAAATATAAAGAACTGGTAAAAAATGAATTAGATGAAATCACTCATTTTCTTCGTAAAATATGTGGTGGACCAAAGCAGAGTAATTAGAAGGATTAATTTCATTATCTATGGAATTGTTTTTTCTATTTTTTTTTGTGACTCGTATATTGTTAGGGACTCTGAAACCCAAAAAGTTATGGACCCACATGCAATTTGATGCTTAAATAGTTAGAAAAATAATTTTTAAAGAAGCAAACTCTATTGGTACTTTAGTTTCAGGGTTTAAAAGAAAGCCATCAAAGCAACTAGTAGTAGAGCTATTGACAGGCAAGTGCTTTTTTTCTTTTAGTGATTTATTTATTAATTATTTTATATTTCTTTTTTGTGATGTAATTCTTTAAGATTTTTTTTACCTGTTCATTTTATTTTTTTCTGTTTCTTGTGGT